TATTTTTTCTGCCTTGTTAACAAGAAAAAAAAAAAAACAACAAAACAACAAAGAAAAATTAGCATTTCCGAATCTCACAAAATGTGAGATTTTAAATCAAGGCTTAGGTTGATTTATAGCATTGGGACAATTTCTTTTTTTAAACCCAGATAGAAACTAAATTGATTTTGGGGGAAGACGTGTCAGATCTCTTCAACTGAAAGAAAAAAAAGTGATGATTTATAAAACATGAAAAGTTGCTTATACGTGGTTTTAATCCTGCCATTTTTTAAAGTGTAACTAATATTCTGTAACATACTTGTTTACTTTTATTATGGAGCACTTGCTTTAAGGTTTGCAAAACCAGATTTTCCAGGGTATACAAAATTGGCCCAACCTAAGTACACAGTAGTCTTATGACAACTATTAAGCCTTGATGACAATGGTACAGTCTGGATAGTTAGCGTGGTGCTTCATGTGTATGTGCTGCCAGTAAACGAGATAATTTTGTTTTGAAAAGGCATAAAAAAAAAAATCATTCCTTACATCAACTGTAATTTCATCATTCCATGTCTGTTGATACAGACAATAAAAAATGTTGTGTAGTCAGTACTGATTACTGACAGTATAGCATTCTCAAATGCAATAAAAATGCTGGTTGTTCACACTGGTAGTTTCTGTTGTCCTGTGTTTTGATGTTGTATAGTGTGCAGTGTTAAAACATCTTAAAAATTACTATATGTTACATAAGTGGGGTTATCGGCATCCGTGGCTACGTAAAGTTATACTAAAAGTTCAGATTTGAAAAAGAAAAAAACAAACATGTCATACTTAACTGCTTTGTGCAATGGTTTTGCACAGAGCAGCCCTCATCCTTCACTGCTCTGGTCCACCGCTGGTGTTACTGGCTCCTCTCTCCTGCTGAGTGTCTACAGAGCAAGCTCCTTGCTCTGGGGGCACTTATGCATGCTTGCTCCCAAGCCGCCTCAGTGTGTCCATAAGACATACAGAGCACAGCTCGGCTCCCCCCCCCCGCTCATTCCTCATTGGCTGTGATTAACACACTTAGCCAATTGAGGAGGGAGGACCTGTGAGAGCCGAGGTTTTCATGCACAATGCTGAATCACGATTGGGCTCGTGTAAGTATTAGGGGACAGAGGGGGGAGCCACACACAGAAGGTTTTTTACCTCCCTGAATAGAATGTAGAATACCTTCAGCCTTTACAACCATTTTAATTGTTACAAGGACCCTGTCAGTGACGTAAAGTTGAACTAAACTGTATCTTAGCACCACAAATTGAAAACACTATTTACTTTTAATACTCAGCAAACCTACCTACCCACCCACCCATGTTCCCATGCTTTTTTTTTTATTTTGTTGAGCAATCAGTTTGATAAGCGCTCCCCTGGCACTTCTAGTTGTGGCCATCTTGAGTAAGAGCAGAGAATTGAGGTTACATTTAGTTCCTGGAGTCCATCTGACCGGTCTTGCAGGCAGGAGGCTGGGCTTAGCTGAGAAAGCCCCTCTTCCCCATGAAAGAAAAAAAAAATGTACATAAAGACTGCAGAGAAGTATGACTACATTTTGGTCTAGGCCAAGAACCAATAGAAGAAACTTAAAAAGGATTCCAAACAGCTAATGTTGATTGAGAGAGTTTAGTTTGGTTTTAACAATTTGCCAGTAAAGCAAGGAAAATTAAGTATTCAAAATGCTCATTTGCAGTGTTTCTCTTTTCCAAAAGTGTTTGTTATTTACTTACAATGTGCCTTTGACAACTAGATGAGACTACAAAAAGAGTCAAATCCTTAATACATCCCCATGTCTATGTGAAAATCCTAATTCTCTCTTCTGAGAGCGTCCAATTTATGTCTATGTTTGCGCAGCTCCTGCAATGCCCCCTCACCTCCCTAAATATCCTTTTATGCAGCTGGAAAGGGAGGAGTGAAGGGTAATACTATGCACACTAGTGACAGCTCCAAAGTGGTTGCTGGCAGCACATCCAAAATGGCAGTACTCAGCAGCAGTCTCAGAACTTTTGGATGTCTAAACAAGGTATGTAAGTAACATAACTAAAAGACACTAAATGCACATATCTTATGGGAAGATTTTTGTTGAAATGATCCAGTGACAGGGTCTCTTTAAAAAAAAAAAAAAATCCGAAAGGTTCTGTTGCTCACTAGCTTTTGAAGATACCTTGAGTTTGCTGTAACTTACTCCAGACACCCACCCATCAAGAAGCTGCTTCTCAGGCTCTGGAACACGAGACCAATGAATCTGGCTATTGTTACCCCAAGATCCAGACGACACCAGATTTGAAGTAAACCAGGAGGTAGACTACTTTATTTGAACACAGATACAAGATATATACACTCAGGGGACAGCCCCCCTCCCTGCATAATGACACAGGGTGGGGCAATCTACATTTAGTAACAAGAGACACACAGGTATTCAAGGTTCACACCAGCAGCAGGGAGGGCTGCTGGAGACACCCCCCTCCCCCACTAAGCTAATACACATACATCCTATAATAGTTTGCTCCCAAGCCAGACAAACAATAGAACAATGGGATTCTGCCACATAACATTAAACAATCAACACCCCCACCTATCTCCTAAACATGTCTACACAGTCTGAAACAAAGCCCACACCATATTAGGACAGATCACCCTTTACCCCTAACAGGCAGATTTACACATAAGAGGGATATGGGTAGCTGAGACAGGGGTCTCCCCATCTCTCCAAAGTGAGCTGGGTTCCATGGGCCCCCCGCCAAAAATGACTCCTGTCAAAATTGCCATCCTTGCCTCAAGCAGAATTATATTTACCTTCATTCCAGCAATGCAACATTTGCAGGCTCCGTCGCGGATCTTGATCTCTTCTCTCTGGCTTCTTCTGGATTTGGGATCTTCACTGGCCAGGCTTGGATGACACGACTCCTGCACATACACATGGGAGTTAATGCATGCTGGCACCCGGCAGATGCAAGGATTATACACTGAACTGTACATATGCAGGTCCTTGCAGTGTAAACTGGAGCTGAAAGGCAAGAATCTTTTATTGCAGATGAGACAAAGTGTCTCTTCTGCAATAATAAAAATCTTCATTTTTTTAACATTTTGGATTTAAAATAAAGTTCCGCTTTTACAACTAAGCTACACCTTTGGAGCAAGCAAATGGCCAATGAAGTCTAAAAAGCCTCAAACGTAGAAGAAAAATCTGATAGTTTTGTAGGCCATAGATTTTTCCCATTTCAATTGGATCTTTATTTTCAAACATTATTGAATCTGTCATTTCAATTGCATAGAAAGAAATAGTGATGCTAACAAATAAATAAAGTGATCAATTATGAAGTCAAATTGGATTGCACTCTGTACACATGTAGTACAGTGGACAGGAACGATACAACATAGAGTGCAGAGGTCAGGAGTACTTAACATTTAGTACAGAGTGCAGTGTTCAGGACTGTGTGACAAACAGCCCTGCTTAGTGTGCAGCATTTAAAAGCACTCCACCAGCACCAATTCAACAACCCAACATTCCTCTCCCCCTTCCCAGGGAAAATTCCCTCTTTGAAAAAAAAAAAATCTCCAACCTTTCAAGCAACAATTCTAATTGATGCAGCTGTGCTCCACCTGATTCTCTGCGATCGCCCATAGTCCCTTCATCTTGCTGACATCACTGAAACTGAACCATAATGAAGATTGCACGTGTGAGGGTTTAAATGTCTGTTGGGACCAAACAAAATTCTTTATAAATCTTTTCCTCAAGACTCCTGATTAAACGTAATCCAATTTTTATTTTCTTACAGGCTTGGATTGGGTAAAGGTTAGAACCCTTGTCAGGTTATTGTTGCTGGTGGAAAACCAAGCACTCTTATTAGCAAATGAGGGGTCACCCAGTATAGAATACTGAATGAGAGAAGTAAAAGATGGAGTAATCACTCCGATAAAGCTGAACCTCTAGCAGACTAAAAAAGACAAAATAACAGTTCTCATTCAAGATGCTATATTTGATGGTAACATTTTTTACTCAGCTCATTTTTGGGCATTAATAGCCCCTTCATCAGGGATTTAATTTAGTGGAAGTACTGCCATATAAATGCCTTTCTGAATGTTATGGTAAATATGTGTTTGTGTATTGGAAAAAAATACTGCCTTAAACGTTATGGCAAGTGGCATTAAAAAAAACAAATGGCTCAACTATGCTGCAAAAAGTTCTACTCTATTTGTTGGGCGCACAATTTGCCATCCTCTGAATCCATAACGGCACTGCAATTTTTTTAAGTCACTAATAAAATAGAATTTTACACTAGTTTGCTTGAAGGCCATTCTGCTCTTCTATTCAAGTGAAATAACTTAACAGCCATAAAGCAGCAAAAGTACATCTTTATTATTGTCTGGGAACCTATTGGTGAAACTTTCTGTCACAAAAGACATGACAAATGTTCTTACCCAACCCTTGTTCACACCATCAGAAACAGTTTGGTCAGGTTGCAGTAGTTTTTGTTTTGTTTTTTTAAATAAAAAAAAATTTGCTTACACATAATTAGATGATGGAAGCAAGGAGAGCTTCATTTCATTCACTAAGCTCTGGGGAAAATCTGCTTGCAAAATGAACAGCCTATTTGTTTTTTTAGTAAATCTTTGGCAACTTGTGATAAAAAGAAAATGTAAAAAGGAAGATACAAAAGGAAAAAAATACCCAAATCATCAAATCAGGACCTATTTAAAAGAGGATGCCTAAGAGAAAGGATTACTGCAGAGGATTATTTAAAAAATTTAGTAATATGTCACCAGGAGGAGAATCGCTCTGCAAAACATTCAGTAGACTTGGCATTGCTGGAGGATTGGTCAAAACAGTGGAAACAGCAGTTCAATATTCTAAAAGAATACACCCAGAAAAAGAACAACATTGGGGGTGCAGTATGTTATATTTACTCCCAAATATTAATAACTCCCCAGTCATTTTATATGTATATCCCCTGGCATTTTTATAATAATCAGGGGTGGACTGACAACTCATGGGGCCCCCGGGCAATAGGGGATCATGGGGCCCATGTCCTTGCCCAAACTTAAAAAAGCCTATGAAAAAGGTAGGTAGGGGGCATCTCATGGGGCCCCCTACTAACCCCGGGCCCTCGGGCAGTGCCGAGTTTCCAAATGGTCAGTCCGCCCCTGGTCATAATAACTCCCAAACAGAAAAAGGTGTAAGTTATCTAAAATAAATTAAATTTTTGAATTAAAATGTTTATTATTAAACAAATAAGTGCATTTATAACTTGGAATTTGGAGTTTTAAAAAATTTGGCACTTTAAAGAATTAATCCTCCAAACAATTAATGATAACTTTCAATAATTATAACCTCTTGCGTATATATTAACAGATAAGGTATATTAATTTAAGCTCTTACTTTCAACTTTTATGTCATTTAGCTTCTTCAAAACTAGGGGAGTTATTATTACATATATAAAAATGACTGGGGAGTTTATTACATATATTTGGGGAGTTAATTATTTGGGATAACATACTACAGGGGTACTGTGTTGGCCAGAAACAGAGGAAAAAGATTTGGGGTTGCTTATTTCACATGACTGCAAAATAAACAAACAGTGGCCTGTCAGTGGGGGAAGCAAATAGAATTCTAGGGGGCATCAGTAGAGGGATCACCAGCAGGAGGAACGAAGTCCCAGATGGGCAGCAAAAATGGTGCGAGGTCTGAGGGATAAAACCTATCAGGAGATACTGCCGGAATTTCATATCTAGAGTCTTGTAGAAAAAAGGGAAAGGGGGGACATGATTGAAGCCTTTAAATACATGAATTGTGTACATAAGTCTTAGGAGGGCAGCACTTTCAATAGGAAGCTAAGAACACAAGGAAAGTACTGTAAACTAACAGGAGGAAAGTTTAATGCAAACCTTCCAAGTTTTATTTTACCCAAAAATTAGTTGGTGATTTGAACAGACTTCAAGCAGAGGTAGTGAGATTGATTTACTAAAGGCAAATAGGCCTTCAATTCACAAGGGAAGTTGCACTTTGCAAGAGAATGTGCCCTAGACCTTAGTGAACAGGATGAAACTTTGCCATCTTCATCAAATCACGTGCCAGCAAAAAGACAGTTTTTTTTTAAATTCTCCTATGTGATTGGGTCCTCTTTGCAAAGTGAACCTTCACCACATTCACTAAGCTTTGAGGTAAAATTCCCTTGCAAAGTGCAACTTCCTTTTCAAAGTGAACAGTTCATTTGCCTTTAGTAAATCAACAGTAAGTACATTTAGACATGCTTCAGAAAAAGATAGGTCTATACTCGGACAAAAACCAGGAGGCAGACTTAATGGACCACTTGGTCTTTTTCTGCTCCTCTATGTTTCCATGTGTCTCAGTAGGAGCCGATATCACTGTAAAGAGCCTTTAGAATTGATGGGATTATAGGTTGGAATCCAAATTTACTGCCCAATAGACTTCAACTGCTGGCTGCCGAACTGGAATGTAAGGCTCAGTGTTTAAAAGAAGTAGTTAAAGTAGTATTAAACCCAAATGCAAACATTTATTATATTGCAGCTTATCAATTCTTAGACGTGATGGCTGCATTCGCTTCCTTTTCTTGAATAATTGCTCATTCGCCATGCACGATGGTTTGTAGGGGTTTGTAGGGATGTAGGGGATGGCATTAAAGTGTAATTTTAAGATTCACTTTAAGGGGAGATCTATAGTTTAGGTTCAACCCGGTTGGGAGAAGCTGCTCCACAGAAAAGAAGTGTATACCCCGAGACTCTTGCCTTCAGTAAAATAAATACTAATACATTTTATCTGGTGACAGATTTTCTTAAAATGTTCTTGTCAACACCACAATCCTAAGCTTTTGGCCCCATGTACTCTATAGCAAATATGACTAGCATGTGACAAAATATAAGAGTCATTTATAATGTATTTTTCCTGTGACAACACTTCATCAGCAGCTGTTGCCGAATATATCTTCATTTTATATCTGCAGCCAGCAAACAGGAAAAAAAAAAAACGGGGAGAGCAAAACAAAAGCATTGTCATAGGTAGCGCTCCTCGCAGACTCTAATGAAGTTCAATTAAGCTCTGCACTGAAGATGCTAAAGGTTAATTAATAGTGGAATCACTGGTGCTTATCTGATAACAAGAGAGCGTTTTTGCAAGATGAATCTGTGCCGTAGAACGTGTGTAGTTAAATACATAACCAGCCTCAGCTTTTTTTTTTTCTTTAATTAAAATTAAAGGACAAGTAAACCCAAAGCATTTATGCAAAAGCCATATGACAGAAGTGGACATAAACAGAACTACTACTACTACAACAGATCAGTCAGCATGGGGGGGCTAAGAATTCTCACACAAATTTTGGGCCCCCTTACCTCATATAGAAATTCTGAAGGACCCTCTGCACACTGGTATATACCCTTTCAAGCAGACTCTGCAATAAATAGGGATACTTAGTTCTCACATATTGCAATACATGCTTAAGCTGGCCAACTGCGTCAAAGTAATCCCTCTGTGGCCAGTCCTACTCTGCTCTGCTTACGCAAACACTACTGTGGACACAATGCTAGCATAGGGGAAAAGACACAATGGGGAGAGCTACAAGGTTCAGGTCTGGCTACTGACCCAACAATACAACAAACGAGATCCCTGTGCTCAAATCCCAACAGCTAGTGCATGCATTTATCCATCAGGTGCTAAAGGGGTGTAACCACATATTAACACTAGAAATTCTGAAGGACCCTCTGCACACTGGTATATACCCTTTCAAGCAGACTGTGCAATAAATAGGGATATTTGGTTCACACATATTGTAATACATGCTTAAGCTGGCCAACTGCCTCAAAGTAATCCCTCTATGGCCAGTATGGCTCTATGGCCCTTTCCTCATATGACTCACCTTCTTCCCCACTTCCCCACCAGTGTGCTGAACATAGGGTGCAGCACTCACACTTATACTACATGCAATAGGGTATAGATTGTTCTGGGTGCCCCAATGTGTTACAGGTGTAGTCAGGGCCAGAAGGAGGTGTGCCCTGGGCGCAGTGTTAATCTTTGGTGGCAGGGGGTAGGGCCCAGTGTTAATCTTTGGCCGCTGAATTCTCCTGTGCCTTTCTGGCAGCAGTGACTGCAGCATCACTCCTGTCAGATGGAGCATAGGCCCAATAGCTGCTTGGAGGAGGTCTCAGCTCTCTCCCCTCTCCAATAGCAGCCTACTATGCTAAGGAGGTCTGAACTGTGAGTATACATAGGATGGGGGGGACAACTCAGCCCTAGACTTCCCCTCTCTTTCTCAGACCTCCCAGGGCCCCCTTAACCTCCTCCCTCCTATAGAGCCCTTCAGCCCAATAGCTGCTTGGAGGAGGTCTCTGCTCTCTCCCCTCTCCAATAGCAGCCTACTATGGGCAGGTGCCTGCTGAGAACATGGTTCTATCTCAAGTTAGTGCCACTGGGTACTGAGGACAAGCTGCCCATCTTCCTCTCTCCTCTTGTCAAGTGACATATCTCACAACCAGAGCAGTGAAGAAGAAGTTGCCTTCATTCTCAGTGGGGACCGTACTGCTAAGGAGGTCTGAACTGTGAGTATACATAGGATGGATTTGGAGAGCCTTCCCCTCTCTTCCTCAGAACTCCCAGGAGCGAGTTTGTATTGTAGGTCAATTTACTTCTGGTTTGCTCATATTGTTCCAAGTCAAGCCCTGAGGAAGGGGTGTTTGGCCCCCCCATGACTGTTAATGGAATAAAGTTGTATCTGGACATCTTAGCAGTGGTGTGGCGCTTCATTTTCAATTCCCATTACATTACACTACAAACCAGGGAGACTGTGAGGTGTAGAGGCCGCCTGCCCAGGAACCAGACCATTTACACCAACATAAGATAACAATACCAGAAAGGTAACCGTACAGGTGCTGCGTTGTCTGTACACTTTTCTCAAACAGTTCCTAAGGTCAGAAGAGTAAATTTTTTAGAGAAAGATTGAGAGCACCTAGGAGTGCCAGGCCCTATTGTATCCACCAGCAACTCAGTTGTAAAGCAATGGGAATTGTAAGAAGTGTTTATTGAAGGGTGCATTTGGCAAACATCGTGTCAACCCGAGGCAGCTGTTGGTTGAGCGTATTGCACAGTCACTCTCAATTGCCATTATGCGCTTGTCATTCCTAAAAAGACTGTTTGGGGATGGGTACGGTGTAGCCAAATGGACTGTCAGTGGCACATAAGGTCCTTATGCTTGTGTTACAAATAGCTGTGCTTTGTATGGAAAAGTATAACATGTGGAATGTGATGAATTACTGTAAAATGTACATACTGTATATGCAGAAAAGTGCTAAGAAAAATCTACTCCTACCTCTGTGTGATGTTTTTGTGAAGGGTCACTAGTTCAAAGAAACTCTTGCAGCTGAAAATTGACTTGTGGGCTATAGAGACAATTTACTGAAGAGGTTAGAACAACCCAGGCCCGGGTCTAGGGGGGTGCTGGGGTGGGCTATGCCCCCCCCAGATTTTAGTTGTGCATCCCCACAGCTCAGAGTGAATTCACAAATCCATGAGACCTGATGGGGACAGTTAATGTAAGAGGGCACTCTGATGGGGGGACAGTTGATGTAAGGGGACTCTGATGGGGACAGTTGCTGTAAGGGGACTCTGATGGGGACAGTTGCTGTAAGGGGGCACTCTGATGGGGACAGTTGATGTAAGGGGACACCTTTGATGTAAGTTGATGAGGACACACCTCATGTAAGATCAGATGGGGACAGTTGATGTAAGGGGGCACTCTGGGGGACAGTTGATGTAAGGGGACACTCTGATGTGACAGTTGATGTAAGGGGACATGTAAGAGGACTGATGGGGACAGTTGATGTAAGGGGGCACTCTGATGGTAAAGACAGTTGATGTAACAGTTGATGTAAGGGGACTCTGATGGGGACAGTTGCTGTAAGGGGACACTCTGATGGGACAGTTGATGTAAGGGGGGACACTCTGATTGATTGTAAGGGGGGCACTCAGATGGGGACAGTTGATGGGGGCACTCTGATGGGGCAGTTGATGTAAACACCTGATGTAAGGGACACTGGGGACTGGGGCACTCCATGTTGATGGATGGGGACAGTTGACACTGTTGATGTAAGGGGACACTCTGATCAGTGATGGACAGTTGATGTAAGGGGCACTCTGATGGGGACAGTTGATGTAAGGGGACACACTCTACATGGATGGGGACAGTTGATGTAAGGGGGCACACTGGGGACAGATGTAAGGGACACTCAGATGGGGACAGTTGATGTAAGGGGGCACTCCACTGGGGACAGTTGATGTAAAGGGACACCTGATGTATGTAAGAGGACACTCAGATGGGGACAGTTGATGTAAGGGGGCACTCTGATGGGGACAGTTGATGTAAGGGGGCACTCTGATGGGGACAATTGATGTAAGGGGGCACTCTGATGGGGACAGTTGATGTAAGGGGACTCTGATGAGACAGTTGATGTAAGGTGGCACTCTCTGATGGGGACAGTTGATGTAAGGGGACACCTGATGTAAGAGGACACTGAGATGGGGGCACTCAGATGGGGACAGTTGATGTAAGGGGACACCTGATGTAAGAGGACACTCACTGGGGACAGTTGATGTAAGGGGGGGGACACTGATGGGGGAGAGTTGATGTAAGGGACACTCTGATGAGGACACCTGATGTAAGGAGGGACTGTTATAGGAATTTTGATGTAAGGAGGAACTCTGAGAAGAACTCCTGATATAAGGAGGGACTCTGTTAGGGACACCTGATATAAGGGGGCACAGGTTCTGTTTAATCAACCTAAACTAATGACAGCATTCCCAGTTCACTCCTGCACCACCTCTGCACTACCTGTAAGATGTTACTTTTTTACTGCACCCCCAGATCAGACAGGCTAGATCCGGCTCTGCAACAACCATTGTAATATCACACTAACAGAAGCGGGGGTGGTAATAAAGGCTTAAAATGAACCTGGGCTTTGCCCAACAGGTTTACATACAGTAATCCTGTTGCCAAACTAAAAAATGCCTGCCTATGTCTTGGAGTGCTAAGCTGTTGAAAAGATTTCATTCAGGCCATGCCCCAATTCAAGTTTAAAAACGTTTGGATGTTTTTGTTGTATTTAAATATTACCTAAGACATGGCAATTTTGGTAAATATAACCACTGTCAAGTTTTACTTTCAACCAAATCTGGCCTCACAGGGTGCTGTAGCAATAATAATTAAAAGTGACAAGCAGAAAGTCTACTAAAGACTGACCTTAGTAAGGAAGGAGCTAGTAAATGTGTCATTTACTGACTACTAAAGACTTTTCTGAATGGAGAGTCAGTGATTCCTACTGATTCTGACTCTGTCCATTCATAACTGAAACATAGTAAGCTGTGTTTACTATGTTTCAGTTTGTTAATGGAGGGGAAGCTCTGCACAGAGCTATTCCTGGTCTATTCATTCAGTGCAGCTGAGGCTGCAGAGATGGAGACTGTGGGCTGTGTCCTCAATCACCTTTCTCTGTCTCAAAGGTGGAACATCAGATGTCTGTTTAGACTCCTGATATCTCACCAAAGCCCCCTATCAGGGCTCCTGGAAAAAAAAATAGCAAAAAAGAATTAAAAAAATTAAAGAAAATATTAAATAAAAAAAAAAAAAAAAACTACTGACACCAGTGACGGAACTACCAGGGTAACAAAAGTTGTGACTGCATTCTGGCGTTCCAACACCGGTTGCTGAGGGAAGTGCTCCAGTTGAGGATCAGGGTAGCCCTTCATGGGTTCTTGCATCGGATCCCTGAAGGTTCTAGTTACACCACTGGTGACACTATCTTGCCACTAGCCACCTCACTTTCAGAAGGAGACCTCTACAGAGACCTCTGATAGAAGATTGAAGGTCGATTGACATCAATGAAACTTCAACCACCTATTAACCCCATGACATTTATTGTCCCTCCTTTGACCCCCAGTCATTTTATCGACCACTTAAATAGTCCCATTGACCCTTGGGGGTCAATATAGGCCACTTTGGAGAACAAATGATCTAAGTACTATCTGTCTAAAGGGTGACAATTCTACTCCAGAAAGAACTGTGTTGTCACTCCGTTAATTGACGTTGAAAAATAATGGACCTACTGGCAGATTCAACAGGTAATAAAACTAGGTTACTGGGGGACTTGTAAAAACAAAAACTGCTGTGTTAATACATGAAATACGCCATTTTTGGCTTTGCTCTTCATTCCACTTTAAAGCAAACCTGTTGCTTTGCCCTGAATGGGAGTCAACAATAATTGAACATGTCATCTTTGATTTTGCCCATAGATCCACTTTAATTAAATAACATTTGATAGTACACAAGTGTTTGCTTTACAGTATTCTATAATTAAAACAGGCTTCATGTATTAACGTACTGCAGCTAATTAAATCCTTGTGCTCCAAATAATCTCTTTTTCCCTGTGTAATTCGGGTCTCTCACATTAAACCTGACAGTGAATAACATTAAATTAGTTTCAGAAGCAATTTTATTTTATTTGTCTATTTATTACAAACTGACCCCCCCTCCTCCACACATTTTACCCTCGTAAACTTCTCTGTAGTTATTGAGGGTCTGGCTCCCTAATGCCTTGTAGAATAATCTGCAAAAAAAAAAAGACTGCTAAAGATTTTATTTATTCGAACGAATAAAACCGACAGCTTTATGTGTACACCAAACATCAGAAAATGGCTTAAATATAATTCTTCAATGTATATTGTTAATTTGAAGGTGCGCAATCCTCGGGGATTAATCACGCATAAAACATGTAACGTTACTCACAGCTAAGTGACACTTTTATCGCATCATATTACCAAATTTCCATTGAAAATGCTAAAACGACTCGTCATTCGCTTGATAACGGCCCGAACCGTAAAAAATGACCAACACAAGTGCCGGTGCTCCAGCCTTAAATTATGCCGTAATTAATAAGGACAGTTAAACTGTCGACTAGCAACAGCAATTTAGGTAAGCACATTTGATCAGCAATAAATTGTCACTACATTAAAATCCCAGAAATATTAACAATATAGATTCGTTGATGGACATAGGTGCTGATTACCCACAATACAATTTTTTTTTTCTCTTCTTATACTACAAAAAAACGTGGGTCAATCAAGACTGGAGCCCATGGTCTGAGATCACAGCTAAGCACTTTTAAGCCTGTGAAACAAGCTCTTGCTAATAGTTGCATCGATTTGTTAAAAGGCTTTAGGTGACATAAATTGTTTCCTGTTTAGCTCGGATACTTGTTCTAACACAGAGAAATGCCAGGGTGTATATTAATTAGGGGCCGCGAAACAACAAGGGTCAGAGGGACGTCAAGCCAGGAGGCGATAGGAGCTGGATGATTACCCTCTCCGGTTAGTCGTGGCATTTAAAGTTCTTCTTTGTTCAAATTATATCACGTCTTCTTCACGTTCATTTTCTCAGCTGTATGTAATAATAATTGTAAGAATAAAAACATTCCCACTGACACAATTGGAGGATTGTTCTTACTGGCACTGACATTTTGGCTTTCTTCCTCCTACTGACACTCACGATAGACAATTTTTCCTTCAATCCTTCACTCCCCCTCTTTCCTGATGCTGGATATTCCTCCTCTCATTAACTAGCAATGTAAGGGGAACTATATTACATACTCCTGACTACTGCACTCTGCATGCTGTGCTGTATGTTACATACTCTGGAGCCCCTAAAAACCCTATACAGGCATACCTCGGTTTACGAATTTAATTCGTTCTGCGGGACTTTTCGTATAGCAAAAAATTTGTAAACCGAAATGCCGTTTCCCATAGGAATGCATTGATAACCAAATAATCCATTCCGGAGGTCAGAAAAAAGTAAATTCTACCAAAATACCACAGGAGTTATTTTATCAAGTCATGCGGTATTTTAGTAGTGACAACCAAGTGTTAATGTTTCAGCTGTCAGTGGGGTTCCCAAATGACAGCTGAATGTAAATGAAAGAATTGCCGGCAATTGAAAAAAATTAAAAACATCGTGGGGTGCCCCCTTCCATGCATACCAAGCCCTTCGGGTCTGGTATGGATTTTGAGGGGAACTCCCATGCCAAAATTAAAGAAAAAATTGCATGCGCCCCCACCCCCCCAATCCATACAAGACCCTTATCCGAGCAGGCAACCCGGCAGATCAGGAAGGGGGGGACGAGCAAGCCCCCCCCCTCTTGAACCATACCAGGCCACATGCCCTCAACATGGGGGGTGCTCCCCCCCCCAAGCACCTTGTCCCCATGTTGATGGAGACAAGGGCCTATTCCTCACAACCCTGGCTGGTGGTTGTGTGGGCAGGGAGCTTATCAGAATCTGGAAACCCCCTTTAACAAGGGGGCCCCCAGATCCCTCTACCACCATGAGAATGAGTATAGGGTACTGTATCATTAATGTAAGATTCGAGTAGCTGAGATGTGATCTGTAGAAATATGTCATTGTATATCTAGCTTAGTTCCATGTTATTAAAGATAAGTGTTCAGGATTCAGTCAGAGACATATATTCACCAATTGGCATCTGAAAGGACAGAGCAGCTTCTAGGCTGGAGGTGACACCAAGATGTCAGTAAAACGTTGTCACCTATGTAGTCACAGTTTGCCACCTTCTAGAAATCTAAAGGGCTCTAGCCATTTTGGCTTCGGGAAGCAGCAGGAGACTAGCAGTGGCTCCGATGTGTCTGTCAAATCATGACTTATATACCAGATCAAAGGAAAATATTTAATCTCTCATGAAAGCTAAAATATTAGTTGCAAAGAGATGAAAATACTTCCTTCTGATTGGACACACTGTAGGCTACATCTGCATGTAAAACTGTATTTGTAGCCCCTGTAGAATCCCAGAAAAACGCATAAAACAATTAAATGGCGCCTGATTGCAACAGCTGAACAGTGATTGATACTGTCACGATCGGACTGATGCGCTGGTGTCGGAAATTCTATCCCCGACTTGGTGATTCAAACCGTTCCTGGTCCACTCGCCTTTGGGCACTTCAGAACCCAGAACGTCCTGTGGGCTGGGGCAGGAACATTCCCCAGGGTTGATTGGCCAAGGGCTAATGTCCAGCCTACGTCCATATTTCAATAAATTGAGGACCCTGAGATATGGACGGTGTGATTCGTACGGAGTCGGTTCTATTTGACTGGCGAATCGCAGACTTTCTCTGACTTGCTCCAGTCGCAGGATAACTCTTGGTAAAAGTTTTATTTCTGTTTTTATTCCCTTTTATTTTATAGTCAATAGCCAATTGTGTGTCTTTTTACATTTTCTGTAATTGTTTTTTCTTTGTACATATTTTATGCACGGCCCACTTTCGGGATATTAAATCATAAAATTAATAAGTGACTTCTGGGTACTTAAGCTCGGGCTCATATCTCCGGAGAGATTGTATCGTATTGCAGTGTCTATATATGCTCGGTCAAGTTCATTGCCAATCTGTATGCAATTGCACTGCGTGTTGGCAGATTGCATGTAGATTGTAAAGTAGCAGATCTGCCAGATGGAGATCTGTGTGTGTGTGGTGGCCCAGCAGACCAGTCTGCGGATAAACTGTTGGGTGGTGGCAAGGTACCGTTTGTTGTGTGTCTGGTGTGGGGGTGTGTGTGGACAGTGGAAGAGTGATTAACACCAGGGTTCTAGCTTGCATGATAGCTGGAGGAATCCTAGAAGGGTGTGCCAATTGCTAGGCTGCTCCTAAACCCTTAGCGTGCACCAGATTGTATCTGCCTGTGGGTGGTCAGCCAGCTGGATTGGATTGGAGTCTCCCTCTAGTGGTGGCCAGAGGTAGTGCGGGCTGTGAAAGTGTATCACGGCCGGTCTTATATATTCAAAGTAAGCCCCTCTCATTCCTTCTTACCCCAAGTCATGGCCGGACGTGCACGCCTCGGTTAGCTAGTCGCTGTGGGCGTGTGCGTGCGTTGTGGATCTGTGACAGGTAGATGGTCCCGCTACTTATTCACAAAAAACAAAAAGTGTAGTGTGAAAAAAGACAGGACACAGTCTTTGACAAGTCCTTTATTAAAAGAAAAAAACTAAAAGAATGTCCCCCACAATAGATGTCAATCACGATGTCTGTCGCCGACCCAAAAAAAGAATTTAAAAAAAAGGCTCCGCTCCCAACAGTGGCTCCTGGCCATCTGCCTTTGAGCAGGCTTGACAGTTCTTAAATAAGGGGAGGGGCCACCCAGTGACATCACACATATGGCCCCATTTCCTTGTGACATCATTGACCCAGCATGCCCCGGTTGATGACGCCACACAAGGAGGTGGGGACACACACACACGTGATGTCACTGGGTAGCCCCACCCCTTACATATTTAAGAACTGTCAAGCCCGTGGAGCAGGCAGACAGCTGGGAGAAGAGCCTTTTTTAAAAAAGATTTTCGGGTCGGTGGCGGACATCGCGATTGATGTTGGATCTACTGCGGGGGAAATTCTTTTAGTTTTTTCTTTTATTAAAGGACTTGTCAAAGACCGTGTCCTGTCTTTTTTCACACTACATTTTTTGTTTTTTGTGAACGAGCAGCGGGACCATGTACCACATACTCATTCACATAGGGGAGGGGGCCAGGATCTGGGGGCCCCCTTGTTAAAGGTGGCTTCCAGATTCCAATAAGCCCCCTGCCCACAGACCCCCTCAACCACCGGCCAGGGTTGTAGAGAAGAGGCCCTTGTCCCCATCAACATGGGAACAGGTGCTTTGGGGGGGAGCCCCCCTGCCTCAGAGCATCCCCCCCATATTGACAGCATGTGGCCTTTTTTACTTTTCAGGAGGGGGGGGGGGACACTCGCTCATCTCCCCCCCCTTCTGACCTGCCGGGCTGCATGCTCGGATAAGGGTCTTGTATGGATCTTGGGGGGGACCCCCACACCATTTTTTTTTTAATTTTGGCATGGAGGTTCACCTCAAAACCCATACCAGACCTGAAGGGTTTGGTATGAATGGAGGGGGGACCCCACAACATTGTTTTATTTATTATGGTGCCGTTTTTTAAATGTAATTACCACTTTTTTTTTTCTTCACTATAGATCAGAGATTCAGCTGTCACTTTCCCCCCAGCTAAAAGAAACAAAATTTTCTTTAACTCCAGGGAAAGTGACAGCTAATTCTGTGAGTTATAGTGAAGAAATAAAAAAAAAGCCGGCAATTGCATGTAAAAATCGGCACCGACATACACTTCAGATTGCGAAAAAAAGTTGTAAAAAAATTTGTAAACAGAGGCATTATTTTCAATGGATTTTCATTCGTAAACAAAAATTATGTTAACTGAGGCCTTCATAAACCGAGGGAAAACCTGTATCTGTTGCATGTTACATTATCCTAATCCTTGCATGGTATTATATTACAATATTTTGTATACTGCATACTTATGACTCGTGATTGCCATACATTATATTGTACATTACATAGTCCTTGTCCATGTGATCACTTGTGTAGCCAGGCATTCTGCTGCAGTATATTTGAAAGACATTACCTTTATTAGTTACTTACCAGCTCTGCCATCCTACAGGCTGCCTTAAGTGAATCATCGCATCCAGTACACCTCACTGGCCCAGCTCTGCTGTTCATCAAGCACCACAGGGGGACCAGCACTTCCTGCATATCATATCAATCCAGCGTTACAGTTTGTGGGCTGCTACTGAGAGATCAACACTCTACTGCCCAACATGACCGCTACACTCTACTGGCCATCAGGAAGATCAGTGCACCTCAGAGGGGCCCCTCCACAGTCACAACTTGCAAATCCAAAACAGGGAGCTGGCGAGTGGGTCTCTGACCAACCTTTGCTCTGTTAACAGGAAGAGACGTACTGTAAGCAGAGTCTATTTTTATCTACACATTCACCAACTTGGTTTAACATTCCCAGTATCCTTGTAAGACCCTGTTTGGCTGTTCTGTTGTCTTCTGCACTAGTTGTCTTTTTTTACTTAGCACAGTCTTCTGCTCCACGCACGGAGCTTCAGTTTATACTCATCCATCTTACTACATGCAGATTTAACAGAAATCCTCTAGCACACCAACATTACTAAGGGCCCCAATGCAAGCCGGCAGAAGATTACTGCTGAGAACAAAGCCTTAGTTCATCTCCTTACTCAATTACTATAGTTGGCTGTTCAAATACAAATAGTTAATGCTAACAGTGTTACTCAGGTGGCCTAGGCCTAGCTCTCCTACTGCCAGTGTAGCCCTTTTATTGGTATTACCACCCCTCTGCTGCCTGATGTCACCAGGTGCGGACTGACCATTTGGAAACTCGGGCACTGCCCGAGGGCCCAGGGTCAGTAGGGGGCCCCATGAGATGCCCCTGGTACATTTTTCATAGGCTTTTTTGAGCTTGGGCAAGGACACAGGGGCCCCATGATCCCCTATTGCCCGGGGGCCCCATGAGTTGTCAGTCCACCTCTGGATGTCACACTTCAGGTGGGGGGCTTGCCCCCAGGTGTTTATGCTGACATAGAAAAGGTCTGACTTTTCATACCTACATATCTATTGTAGAATTATTGTGCTTTAATTGTACACTTTAGCAAAGATGAATCAAGCTGGCAATGTCCAGCTCATCAGAAGTGTAAAGGAATAATATACAAAGCAGTATTGCTAAACCAACTCGTGATGATTTTAAGGTTTAGTCCTGGATTGTCAGAGGGGATAAGGCCTTTATCGGGGTCAAGGCAAAAACAGAGGACCCAATCTTACAGCAACTCCTGCAGGGGTACCACTACAGTTGAATTCTCACTTGCACAATTGGCATTTTGCACTGTTTGTACGACTTCAGCTCTTACATGGTAATATATCTCACAGTGAGGCATTGTCTGTTTGTAGAATATTGACTTATGTGTATAGTTACTGTGTGTGTAACCAGGACTTGCATTTTGTGTTGTTCTTGCAGCGTGTGTATATATATATATATATATATATGTGTGTGCGCACATATGTATGCATTTTTATCTATGTGCAAAGTACACTGAAAGCCATTTAAACATTAAACCAAAACAAATTGCCTATATGTCTGTAAATACTTGGCTTTGGATCCGTTTTATAATGCTTTGCATTCTTACACGCATGTTTTTGCCTTGTTTTTAAAGTGTTTTACGGGGTTTTTTTTTTTCACTTTTTTTTTTTTTTTAAGTGGACTTTTTTGTTGTTGGAGAGAAAAAAACAAAACAAAAAAAACACAAAAATGCAAAAAAAAAAAAAAAAAAACGCAGTAAAAATGCGGCAAAAACACACTGCATACATTTCAGTAGCTTCTCCGTTGAACTTTTTAGCAGTAAAAACACTGCTTTTTGCATTTAAAAAAAGTCCCTGACCCTTTCCAAAAACGCAGCAGCGCAAAAAAAAAAGCATCGATGTGAACATGTCCCATACAGGGGTGGACTGACAACTCATGGGGCCCCCGGGCAATAGGGGATCATGAGGCCCCTGTGTCCTTGCCCACACCCAAAAAAGCCTATGAAAAAGCCAATGAAAGGTACGAGGGGCATCTCATGGGGCACCCTACTAAGCCCGGGCCCCCGGGCACTGCCCGAGTGCTTGCATGGTCAGTCCGCCCCTGGTCCCATAGGAAACCATGTTTCTGCAAGAACACTAAAAAATGTATTGGTGTGAACCAGGCCTTAAAGCTGATTCTGATGCGCAAAATATTTTCTGTTGTATGTTCTATTGTCCTAACCACTGCACTCCAAGCTGTTCTACATAGTACACGCTTCTGACCAAGGTGTTGATGGTCTCAACAGTTGCTGGTTGCCAAGTATTCCTCAACTGTTTTCTAAAGGTCTTCTTTAGGATTCCATTATGCTCCATAAAATGCACCCCCACCCACTGGTGTGCATTGTGTAGTTGGTGCAATAAGTTGATACAATACATCACACTATTTACCTTTTTTCAGCTCAGTGGAATGAATTTTCTCCAAAGCCCTAGAGAAAGGGAAAATTTCCAGAGGAAATGCAGAGCCTCTCAGCCATGACCACAATTTGACTCCATTCTGGCTATTACACCTGGGCTCTTGCTCAGCTTCTATCTAACCATTGGAGTCTAGCTCCCCCTAGCTACTTGGGAGGGCACTACATATGTTATAGTCATATTTATTTTTGCTGTTAATATTAACGTGTTATTTAGATCATTCCATCCTCCTGTGTTGGCAATTCTGCTGTTACAATTAAAAATTCAATAAAAATATTGAATGAGAGTTATACAGGTGGGGTCAGCTCTCTGTCTGCTGATTGGACAATTAAGAAGCAGCAACACATGGATAATGCATCAGCTCTGCTCTCCCCTTCAGTCAGAGTGCTCCAAGTCTGCACATGTGCACCATGTTAGAGTCTAATTAGCTACTGGTGCTGTATGATATCAAGACAGATTCATGACTATATGTTAGCTGTTTGCAAAAAAATTATACATATTATAAATATTAAGGGAATACACAGCTGCATTAAATAATGTTTTTTTTTTGTTTTTTTATATATCTTCTTGTAATCTAGCTATAAAACTGAACTTTAGGCAAATGATTAAGCTTTTCTAGGGTCCTTCACACTAGGTGCATTGGGACTGCACTAGGCAGCCTTTCCCAGCATAGTTACAGTGCAAGACATAGCAAAAGGCATAGTTTCCAGTAGTGTCAGCTTATCACACAGCAGAGCAGTGGTGTGCATTGAAAAAAGGACTGCATGCATGCAGTTGTGACAAACTACCACCTTGTAACACCAGTGTAAGAATTTTATGAAATGTCACTTTGACATTTCAATAAAGTTCAGACAAAAAAAAAAAATGTAAACAGTGTGGTGTGCTGGGATCGGAGGATCAGCACCAGGGGCGGACTGACAACTCATGGGGCCCCCGGGCAATAGGGGATCATGGGACCCCTGTGTCCTTGCCCAAACTCAAAAAATCCTATGAAAAAGGTACCAGGGGCATCTCATGGGGCCCCCTACTGACCCCGGACCCTCAATAGGGGATCATGGGGCCCCTGTGTCCTTGCCCAAACTCAAAAAAGCCTATGAAAAGGGTACCAGGGGCATCTCATGGGTTTACAGCCCCCCTTATGTGGTTTTCCCTACTGACCCGAGTTTCCAAATGGTCAGTCCACCCCTGATCGGCACTGTTCTTGCCAGCACACACCAAAATTCATGTGTTAGGAGCAGCTCACTGTGAATGAACCCTTCATTTCCACAGGATTTGTATTTCTGTCCATCGAGTCCTGAGGTTTACACAGCTCTTCCATACAACAACACACATTCTCTGCTGCAGCTATGTATGCCTTACAGGTCTTGTCCCTTCCCCAGGCTGACTGGACATTGAAAGGAGAAGCAGCAGACCAATGAGCTTGTCTCTCTGCAACTCTGCTCTCTCCTCCTATTAGTAGGTTTCTTGTTAGCGTGTGAGCACTGCAAACACAGCTGATTGGCTCCTTGTGCTGCTTCCCTCCACCTCTCAGTTTGGGCTCTACTGGAGAGGGACTGCAAAAGGCCGATAGAGAGCCCAATTTAGATACTAACACTTGCTTTGAAAGAAAATACATTTATAGATGGATTATGATGCAGACCTCATTAATGGTGTCTTTCATATCTGCCTAAATTTCAGTTGTAATTAGAATTGTGTACAACTCTACCATTGGGTTTGGTTGTGATTCTCTGACGCAAAGTAGAAACTAAAAACGTATGTATTATGTTTTTTAAGGTTCGCTAGTTGTTATGGTAAGCTTACTAGTAAACTCTATGTTTTCCATAACCGAGGGCTCATCTCAAGTGCAATTTCCCCCGTCTGGCTGCCTGACATGGGGTTACAATTTAAAAAAATACCATCAGGAATGTTATTTTTTCTCTGTGCTGCTCCACGTTGTTTAGAAACCCTCTCTAGTGCTCTAGAATAACACACCTTATTTTGGTCAAGGGAACGGACCGACTTTGTGCCTGCTGTGTAAAACGCATATACGTGAAATAACAGCAAAAGTTGTTTTCTTAACATAAATCAAGTCTTGTGAATGCCCGGTCTTTGGATTGGCACTTAACTTACAAAAATACAGTTAAGCATTGCGTTAAAAGAAAAAATGGAGAACATTTATTAAATATGAGGTTTTTACTGTAATCGAATATTAATGTAACCCAATGCTTATTCCCCATTAAGTTGATCCTGTTTTAATACACACATGCTTCTTATTATTTAGCACACTCACGCAGGATATTCCACACACAAACTGTTTCCACCCTGAATGGAATGTCTAGGGAAGCTGAGACTAAATGTTTGGAAACAGAACGACAGGCCAGGTTTTTTTAAAAAAAAAAAAAAAAGTATTCCACTTGTTTTCAAAGGAGTGACTTTCTGGGGAATGTTAGAGTTAAAGTGTATCCAAAGCCAACATTTCTATCAGTTTTGATAAAGATCAACACAGCTGATTGGCTCCTTGTGCTGCTTCCACTCACCTTCAGTTTGGGCTACTACTGGAAAATACGACTGAAAAAAGGACGGATAGAGAGCCCAATTAGATTACTTAACTACCTTGCAAGCATTGAAAGAAAATACATTTATAGGATGGATTAGAACACTGATGCAGACCTTCATTAATCTGTTCTTTCATAATCTGCTAAATTTTCAGTTGTTAATTAGATTGTGTACAAACTCTACCATTGGGTTTTTTTTTTTTGGTTGGTGATTCTCTGTGACGGCAAAGTAGAAAAACTAAAAACGTATGTATTATGTGTCTTTTTTACGGTTCGCTAGTTGTTATGGTAAGCTTACTAGTTAACTATATGTTTTCCTAACCGAAGGGACTCATCTCAAGTGCAATATCCCACCGTCTGGCTGCCTGAATCATGGGAGTTTACAATTTAAAATATACCCATCAGGAATGTTATTTTTTGAAAAAATTCTCTGTGGCTGCTCCACGGTTGTTTAGAAAACCTTCTCTAGTTGCTCTAGAATAACACACCTTATTTTGGTCAAGGGACGGACCCGCAACGGACCGACTTTGTGCCTGCTGGGTAAACGCCATATACGTGAAATAACAGCAAAAGTGTTTTTTCTAAAACCTAAATCAAGTCTTGTGAATGCTCCGGTCTTTGGATTGGCACTTAACTTACAAAAAATACAGCTTTAAGCATTGCTTTAAAAGAACAAAATGGAGAACATTTATTAAATATGAGGTTTTTACTGTACTCGATTATTTAATGTAATCCCCATTGCTTATTCCCATTAAGTTGTTCCTTTTTAATACAACGACATGCTTCTTATTATTTTAGCAATCAACGCAGGATATTCCAACACGTCAAACTGTTCTCCACCCTGAATGGAATGTAACTAGGAAATGCTGAGGACTAAATGTTTGGAACCAGAACGGACGGCTCCAGGTTTTTTTTAAAAAAAAAAAAACGCGGAGTATTCCACTTGTTTTCTGCAAAGGAGTGACTTTCTGGGGAATGTTAGAGTTAGAAAAGTGTATCCAAAGCCAACATTTCTATCAGTTTTGGATAAAGAATAAGGAAGGGTTTGAACCTCTGTCAAGTTTTTTCTGCTCACTATTATTGTGATTAGAGATGAGCGAATCGAACCAGGCGAACCGGAATACGAACCGAAATTCGATAGGAATTTAGAAAAATTCGATTCGCGGTCGAATTCGAATATTTTCCTACTTTGGGGTGCGCGAATATGGATTTTTCCCGATCAGCCGGCCAAAAGTGTCCATGCAGAGAGCTCCGCTATTTTACTGGACATTTCTCTGACTGTTCCTTTACATGTACAGCGGTGTGGAAACATTGTATCTATTTAGTTTCTCATTTAGGATACAGACTGTTTCAACGCGCTGTACATTTGAAGAAGGCTGTCAGGAGAACTGTCAGAAATAGCGGAAAACTCTGCACATTTTCGTCCTTCTCTTTTTGCCGGTTTGGAATTCTTCATCCTTTTCATCCTTCTTCTTCGCGCCTTCCCTTCTCCTTTACATCTCCTCCCTGCGTTCCTGGGGAATCTCTTCATCCTCCTCCAAAACTTCTTCATCTCCATCCTCCTCTACATCCTCTGCCTTCCATCTTCGACTTCCGCATTCGTCCTTCTCAGCGGTTTCATTCTCTTCCTTCTCCTTCTCTTCTTCATCTTTCTATCTCCCTTCACTCGATCCCATCCCTTGAAATCCTCATCTCTTTCCTTCACTCCTTCATTCCTCCTTCATTGCCTCTATCTTCCTCCACTTTTTCTTCTTTTCCTTCTCCTTCATCCTCCTCTCATCCTTCTCCTTCTTCATCATCCTCTCCTTCTCCCTTGCCCTCTTAGGTCTCCTTCTCCTGTTCATCCTCCTTCCTTCTCCTTCTCCTTCAGCTCCTCCTTCTCTTCTTCATTCTCACCTCCTTTTTCATCCTTCTTCCTTCTCCTTCATCCTTCTCCTTCTCCTCATTCATTCTCCTCTCCTTCGTCCTTCTTCTTTCATCCTTCTCCTTCTTTCTTCTCATCTCCACCTTCATTTCATCCTTCTCCTTTTTTTAACTCTCATCCCTTCTCTTCCTTCATGTCATCCTTCCTCTCTTCTTCATTCATCTCCTTGCTTCTCATTCATCTCCTCCTTCTTCTCCGGTCCTTTAATTCTTCATCCTTCTCCTCCTCACTTC